GAAGGTGATGTTACTTTAGATGCATAATTGTTTGAAAATAATAACCCATTATGAAATAATTTGCAGCGTTATTTATTTTCATTTAAATTAAATATAAGCCACAGATTTAAGTTAGTTGACTTAATTACAACTAAATAAGTTTTATTGTGACAAATACCAAAGAAAGAATTGCGATCGTGATAAATTTCGAATCCAAGTTTTTAACGGAAATAAACTTTTGAAGATGTTCTAAGGTCAAATATCTCGTTCTAAGTCTCGCAAAATGGACTGTAGGTTTGTCTATTTTTTTAACGGATGTGAACAACCGAAAAAAAAATCTATGAAACTGAAATCATTTATTTAAAATACGTATATACTTGGGATGTTGTATCCTCTTTTTCCTCTCCGACTTGCCAAATGATTATGCATCTTAGATTATATGCTTTTGAAAAAGGCTTTGTTATAATCAGTGTATTTATTAAATTGGTAACAAATTACATATTTTGGAAGTTGGAGATGGTGAAAACTCGAATATTAGCGCTTGGCCGAGCATGACCAATTTTCTCAGTCAGTGACCTAAAACACTACTATCTACGGGGACCCAGCCTTTGCATAAAGTTTTCCAAAACAAAACCTCTTTAAGCAACCACTAGTCTACAAGAATGAACTCATGCACTTTCTCTCACCATTGGTAGTATATGAACTTCTGCCAAGTCTTTAATTTTCTTTCTGATTTTAATTGGTGAAACTATCTAATTCAGGCATTACGTTTTCGTTTCTGCTCCCAATCCGAAGTATGTTGCCTATGAATTCTTACTTTTTTGTTTCCTAATTTAGCATTTAGATTATTAAAATATGATAACAATAAAATATTTTTATTAATTTGAGAAGACAATCATCCGAATGATTACCGGAGCAATCTTGGGTCAGAGCACTAACGTATGAAGGAGGAGGATCAACAAAAAAATGCTTATAGAAACTGGTCAATCAATATCTCATGACATAAAGGTGGTTAACATTGGCAACATATGTAGCTTAGAGAAAGCCTCTACAAAACAGTAACTCAAAAGTTGATAAAACACCATGGCTAAATCTAGACTAGGACCAAAACCCCAATGGATAGATTGAATCAACCATGATTCAACACAGCTGGATGTAGAAAACTCGAAAGAAACAGCCCTAGATAGGTTGAGATAGAGAGGTCTCTTTAAAGTGGCAAAAGTTCAAGGAGGTTTATAAACCCAACAGAAAAATAATTTAATTAAATTAAATTACATTTTTTAAAAAATTAAGAATTAAATTTCGACGTAAGCCAATGACTTACTGCCCTACAGTTTCCTTTAACAATACTCCACTTATCCCTGTAGAGCAAATCCGCTACCCAGGACTCCACCTGGACAAACGACTAATTTGGAATCCTCATACCAGACTGAAACTACAACAAACCGCTCGACGTTTCCGATTATTTCAACACTTACTAGAAAAACCTTCTAGACTTCCAATTAATTAATAAAGACTCATATACATGACTATAATAGGGCCTATTAGGACTTGAGCAATGGGGCTCCACTAAACCATCGAATTCCTCTCGTATCCAATCCTTACAATCCAAAATCCTTCGTAAAATCGTCAATGCTCCCTACTTTGTTACAAATAAAACCATCCATAATGACCTTAATGTTCTTTATGTTTCAGATCTGGCCCAATCGAAATACCTATCCTTCCATAATAAACTTCAGAATCATCCCAACCCTGTCGTTTCTAACCTTGCTTCCTCTTCAATTCCTGATAACCCTCCGTGATGTCTGAAAAGAAGATTGTCCCGTGTTCTCCTAATGTAGACATATCATTAGAGTGCTACCATTCGGTAGTTATTCAGCAAGTTTTTTCACGTCATTATATCCGTATGTTTAAATTTCCTAAATGTATTTCTTTAATAAAGATGTAAATATCGTTAGAAATAATAAAAAAAAAAGGAATTAAATTTGCATAGAGCCGAAGCTGCTCCATCTTATGAGAGGTTTTGGTACGACAATATGACCGAAAATATAAAACTCTTTATTAACTCCGTTTATTTTTTAGTATTTTCTAAAGATACCACGAAGTAAGGAAAAGCAACAGTAGAATCTATAAAAGAGCCTTATATATCTTGATTGTCTTGTATTGAATTTTTATCAATTTAAAATACTAAAGGAACCAAATAATTGAAGAACGAAAGATAAAAACGAATTAGTTTAACTTTGTCCGACTACTCCAACACTTACTAGACAAACGCTCTAAACTTCCCCTTAATTACAAAAGACTCATATACTTGACTATAATAAGACCTATTTGGACTTACGGAGTTGGGCTATGGGGCTCCACTAAACCATCGAATTCCTCTCGCATCCAATCCTTACAATCCAAAATCCTTCGTAAAATCCTCAATGCTCCTTACTTTGACACTAATAAAATAATCCATAAAGACCTCAATGTTCCATATGTTTCCGATTTGGCCAAATCCAGATACCTATCCTTCCATAATAAACTTCATAACCATCCGAATCCTCTTGTTTCTAACCTTGCTTCCTCTTCGATTCCTGATAACCCTCCGAGGCGTCTGAAAAGAAGATGGCCTCGTGATCTTCTCATGTAGACAAATTATTAGAGTGCTACCAGTGGGTAGTTTCTCAACAAGCGTGTTTCATGTAATAATATTTCTCTGTACAAATTTACTAGATGTATTCATACTAATACAGTTGTAAATATCATAATAAAAGTTAAAAAAAAAAAAAAAGTTTGACTTTGCAAAAGGTACTTAAATTAAATATACTACGTATCATACTCTTCATTTAGAAATTATAGTTGAATATAAATCGAAACGGTTAAAAATAAAAACTTTTCTTCAATTGAAATTTTCTATTTAAAATATACTAAACTGTAAAACAATATGGAATGTATAGGTTCAACTCCAACTTTTTTTGATGACTTTATTTAAGAATATTCAATTTCATGAACACATTAGAATTGGTTTAAATTGAAGCTCAACGAAACAAAGTTGTTTTTTCTGAAATTTGTAAAAATTGTAGATATAATTCTTTGATATTAAGCAACTCATATATTTGTAATTATTTATAAATTACCAGTAAAATTGAAGCTTTCTGTTTTTTTGTTGTTTTTTTAGGCAAGTAAATGCAAATATTACTAGCCTCGAACTAACCGACCGTACTTGTACAGTTCAGTCACCTACATTACATAAGTCACATAACAGATGTAACATGCGTTACGTTGTTTGCAACTTCAAGCGGATAAGTATTGTCAGTAATTGTTAATCTCAGAGCGTAAATGAATTCAACATTTTATAATTGTTATTGTATTTTCTCCGGAAAAAGAATACCTTTCCTGGTATCTAAGATCGTCTGAGGAATTAGGTGAACATATTAAATCCTTTTTGTAACTCCTACAACACGATTTTAACAGCTTCCGGTATGACTGAAATTTTGATGTATGTATATTTATGTTTTTTCTCAATTTGTTTTCAAAATTAAACGAAGCCATGAAGGCAGAAATAAATTCAGTTGATGTTAAAAAAATTGTCTATTTTGACAGATTTTCAGTAACAATAAATGAGAAAGAAACTTATCAGTGCAATTGATTGTAAAATTCTATCAAATTTTCAAAACGAACAAAATTAAATCACTTTTCATTGTTTTCAAAAATGAAATGAGAGGAAAACATGGCCTTAGTGACACCGCTTTGCTGATCTTGTTTTTTTTTAAATTTATAAATAAAAACCATTTTAATTACATTATATTTCTTTAGAAAAATGAAATTGCACCTTTGATAATTGAAATTATATAAATTTCTAGCGAAATAGGATTTTTTATAAAATTTAAAAGCCAAAAAAAAAAAAAGATAGAAATACCTTTTTTGCACTAAAAAAGTACAAAGCACATAATGGAAATGAAATTTAAATCTTACATAATAAGAATTATTTAAATATATTTAACCAATTATTTCAAAGTAATCTAGATTAAATTGACAATGAATGCTAGCGAACCTTTTTTTTTTAAACAATATAAAGGGGATTTTAAGTAGGTAAACTACGTTAGGTTCGGCTTTTCATAAAACAGAGGTCACGAATTCGCGATTTATTTTGTAACTCCCAATTGAACTGAAAACATTCGGAAAAACTTCTTTGTTCGATGAGCTTTAAGTCAATAATAATTAAGTTAAGTTTAATGTCTTCTATCACATATTACCAATTATATTGAATTAATGTAGATCTAAACTTGATATCATTATTACAAAATTCCTCATTGATTTATATCGAATATAATTCTGTTGTCAATGACTTTTCAGAATCATTAAAAGAAAGAAACTTTGAATAATAATTTGAACGATCGAAAATATTTAAAAAAAAATAATTTAACTTCGAAAATGAATCGCCTACTATGAACAACATCAATTTCGTGCTTTGGACCAATGTTTGCTTAAAGTGAAAAATGAACTCCATGAACAAATTAGAACCAAAGATATCAAATAAAAAATATTGAGAAGTTTTTCTTAATTTTTAGTGCAAAAAAAAAAAAAAAAAATCCAAAAGTTGTCGACGTAAAATTAGAATAGCAATAATTCAGCTTTCCAATGGTTGGACTAACGTTGAATATTTAGAAAATCCTGAGAAGTTATAAATGCTTTAATTAACCGCAATCCTATGATAATCTAATAGCAATAAATTTTGGGGGGCGTGGTGGCCGAATGGCCTAACGCGTGTGCACTGCACCACGTGTTGCCCGGCTACCAGATTAAAGATTTGAAAGGTTATAAAAAGTACGAGTTTGCGCCCCGGTGCCGGAAGGGATTTAAAATTCTCCGCCCTCACCTCTTGGCCCGGGAAAACCCCGTGTAGCCTAATGAGCGAGGTAGGAAAGGACAAAAAAAAAGTAGAAACAAAGTGATTGATTAAGAGTTTGTGTCATTTTACGGTTTGGTTTAGATCAATTTTTTGAATACGCTAATATGAGATTTTAATTTTCCAGCTGCAGAACTACCAGACCTTCAGGGAAGAAAACCCTTGCTGGTGGGATTTATGCCCTCTCGACTTCTATCCTATCGCAGACGCTGACATCGTGAGTGTCCTCCCATACAGGGAACAGAACGGGAGGAGGATCATTATTATAAAAATAGGTAACGTACGTTTTCCCTATTGTAATATTAAATATTTTACATCAGTGAAGTCTGTATTCATTGAAGGATAATATTGTCCGATTGGGGGAGTAACTGTTTTTGTGAAAATGAGGTTGTATGGTAATACAATGCATCACGGATTGCTGATGTATAGATTAAAGTCTGTTACATTTTAATATTGAAACATATCCCTTGAATATAAAAAATGAGTAGTTACTCAAACGTATGAAAATTTTAATAATTGTCGACATAGCTTGTCGCGTACCTGTCTTATCTCCCAGGTCAAGCTTAGGTAAAGTTTTGGGGGCGACAATCAGCTTTCAACTAATTGGTTTTAATGATTTTTTTTTCTTTTTGTAGAGAATTCAGTAAACTTTCAAATAATCATGAGTCTAATCAAGACAACATTGTATATATTTTTAATTTATTTGCAAATAAAATTTCTTTTCATTCGTAACTTTTTTTCCTGATATTTCGGGTGGATGTTACTATGATTCGTCATTTCGTTTGATGCCTAATCAAAATCCTTCCTAAGAGCTGGAAAAGCGAACTGTAAGAAAAAAAACTATCGTTATATTATCAAGAAGTTCTGCGCATGCGTTAACCTTACACATATACTCTTTATTTCGTCTCTTATTAAGTGACTTTATTAACAGTGAAATAATTCATGTTATATGTGAAAAAGTAGTGTAAACTGTTAAGTTAACAATTAAGTTGAAACTGGACATAAACAAGGTGAGTAATCACTTATTTATAACGGCATTGTGAACAATGTAAATAGACCTGAGGATAGTGATAGATAACAAGCCGGCCATATACATTCGTTAATCCGACCAGTGGGCTGCTGCCCTTTGGCGGAAGCAGATCTACGTTACTTAGACTTCCACAAACTCGCGTAATATATACGTAATTGATAAAGGACATTTTTTTTTTTCCAAATTATTACAGTTACCTCTAATTTAATTAATATGAGATGCGCTATTTTCATATGGTAATGTCGAGCAAAGGTAACAATCGAACTTTAAGATCTAGGAGTCTCGATACCACAAAGAGTTCACCCATCAAGAAAAGGGCTAGACGCTCTAAAAAAAATACCCCGCCAGCTACACCAGAGAGCTCAGTTGACGAAGTTGAAAATCAACCTGGCACATCACAAAATATGTCAACACAAGCTATACCAATACAAGGTACGCTAGAAGAATCGCCTTTTTTTACAGCTAATCCATTCCAAGTGCTGTCAAACACACAGAATGAACAAATGGAAGCAGTATCCATCCCTAGTGAACCTAAACCTCCACCAATATTCGTTAGAAATTTTAAAAATTTTCAATTAATGTGTCAACAATTAAATAATACAGTGGGCTCAGGTAAATACGTATGCCAAAGCCGCACTAATGACACGAAATTAATGCCTGACACCCCAGATACGTACAGAAAAATTGTCAAGTATTTATCTGACACTAAGGCGGATTATCACACATATCAACTGCGCCAAGAGAGAGCGCTCAGGGTGGTGATCAGGAGATTACACCCATCAACACCGCTGGATGCCATTAAAGAAGAACTAACTGAGATGGGGTTCCGTGTTCGACAAATAGTGAATATATTCAAGGAAGATAGAGAACAGCCTGGTACAAAAAATAAAATACCGCTCCCACTATTCTTCGTTGACCTTGACCGAACGCCCCAGGTCGAAGAAATCTACAAGGTCACACGCCTTTATTACACTAGCGTTGTTGTAGAAAAGCCCTACACTAAGCGCGACATTGTACAATGCCATAACTGCCAGGCTTATGGTCATACGAAACGCTATTGCCACCACATTCCTAGATGTGTCAGGTGCGGTGATCAACATAAAACTGAGGACTGCCAGAAGTCCAGAAGAACACCAGCAGTATGCGCTTTATGCCACCAAGGGCACCCAGCGAACTACAAGGGTTGCCAAACATATAAGGAACTGAAAGCAATAATTTATGCAGCTCCAAGAGAAGAACGGCCATCCAGGCCACCAAGACAACCCTCTAGAACTGTAAATACAAGAGTGTCCTATGCTCAGATGTTCAAAGGAGACACTGCACCCACACAAACTCAGGCCCTGCCACAAGAACCTCAACCTCGAGTATTCACATCTCAACCACAAGACCCTTATCCCATCTCTGAACCTAGGCCTAATAACCAGACATTCATTCCTCCTCCTCCCAATGCCACTGACCTCACAAGCCTATTGACTTCTTTCCTCTCTGAATTCAGGTCACTCATCACTCCTCTCATTTCCTTGCTTACCAATGTTGTATCCAACCTCATCCCACTGTCGAGAAATCCTTAAATGCCCCCAATCAAATCCCTCTCCGTTCTCCTTTGGAATGCGAATGGTATTCGAAATCACGTCAACGAACTAACAATCTTATTACAGGACAAAAACATTGATATAGCATTAATAACTGAAACTCGACTTACCAACAAACGACCACTTAACATCCCCAACTATCATATCTATCGAACCGACCATCCTGATGGAACAGCACATGCTGGCACTGCCATAATTATCCATCAATCCCTTTCCCATCATCTATTCCCTTTGCTAACCCATAATTTCCTACAATCCACTGCCGTGATAATCCAAACTTCCCTTTACCCAATAGCAGTAGTCGCAGCATACTCCCCGCCTAAAATACCCATCTCAGAATCCCAATTAACTTCCTTCCTTAACTCCTTAGGACACCACTTCCTTCTAGGTGCAGACTTAAATGCTAAACACCAGCAATGGGGAGCCAGAACCACAAATTCCCGAGGACGAACATTGCTATCTGCACTTAATTCCCATCACAGCAACATCCTCTCACCCAATTCTCCCACATACTGGCCAACAGATCCTAACCGCAATCCCGATCTCCTAGATTTTTTCATCCACAAAGGTCTAGGGTCCCTTCATTATTGCATCTCAAGACTTGATGATCTTTCCTCAGACCATAGTCCCCTAATCCTAACGGTCTCCACATCACCAATTCCCAAACCACCTCCACCTTCATTTATCAGGGGGCCAGTTAATTGGAACCTCTTCCGTCAAATATTGGATGATAATATTGACCTCAGAGTTTCCTTAAAAACACCCGCAGACCTAGATGAAGCAGTATATTCCATGATTACCTTGATCCAACAAGCAGTTTGGACTGCATCTTCACCTTATCCTTCTAAAAAATACCGCAAAATAAATCCTCTACCCCAAGACCTACTGGACCTTATTAATAGAAAACGATGCTCTAGGACCATCTGGCAAAGAACCAGGCATCCTGATGATCGGAAATCATATAACTATTATTCCAAGCAGGTAAAACAAAAACTGGCTACGTTTAGATCCCAATCCTATAATTCCTATCTTTCCTCACTATCTGCAAGTGATAACTCCCTCTGGAATGTAACTAAAAAAATCCTTAAATTCCAATCCATTTCCCACCCCCTCCGCCGTGATGATGGTTCCTGGGCTTCGTCAGATGAGAATAGAGCAGAAGAGTTTGCTAAACATCTATCGTACACATTCACTCCTCATCCTGAACTCCATCCCTCCCATACTGCTGAAGTTAAAGAATTCCTCTCTTCACCGATTCCTCTCTCCTTACCTCCTAAAGCCGTCAACCCCTCTGAGGTCAAATTCCTTTTAAAGAACCTAAAACCTCGCAAATCTCCAGGACACGATCTCCTTACTTCCCAGATCCTCAGACAACTTCCCAAAAAAGCAATTATATTCCTTACATACCTATTCAACTGTATCCTCCGCACAACCCACTTTCCTCTGGTGTGGAAACACTCCATAATTATCCTCTTTCCTAAACCAGGTAAACCTGTTAATTGTACATCATCCTATAGACCGATAAGCTTACTTCCGATCCTTTCCAAAATCTTTGAGAAAATCCTTCTCAAACGCATCCTACCCATACTGGAATCCCACAATATCCCTTCCCATCAGTTTGGATTCCGCTCAAGACACTCCACTGTCCAACAAGGCCTTCGCGTTGTGGACCACATATCCTCTGCACTTGAAAACAAGCAATATTGCACTGGTGCCTTTCTGGACGTAGCTCAAGCTTTCGACCGGGTGTGGCACGATGGCTTGCTTTTCAAGCTCAAAACCCATTTACCTCAACCCTTGTATCTAGTCCTCAAATCCTACCTTTCAAATCGCTCCTTTCAAGTCCGCTGCGGCACTGAACTCTCCAAACATTATCCAATTGAGGCTGGTGTCCCACAAGGCAGTGTCTTGGGCCCAGTTCTCTACATCCTTTTTACCGCTGACATCCCTTCAAGTCCTGATACCTTCCTAGCAACATTTGCTGATGATACTGCCATCCTATCCTCCCACTCGGATCCTCTAATTGCGTCCCGGAACCTGCAAAGACACCTCTCCTTCATTGAGCAGTGGTGCAACAACTGGCGCATCAAAATTAATGAATCAAAATGTAAACATGTAACTTTCACTCTTCGACGCAGATCCTGTCCTCCAATCCTTTTTAATTCAATTCCTCTTCCCTACTCAGACACAGTCCGATACCTTGGCTTCCTTCTGGACAAAAGACTGACTTGGAACCCACATACGAGACTTAAAAGACAAGAGCTTAACCGACGATTTGGTCAGCTATATAGACTACTAAACAGAACATCTCATCTCTCAACAGAAAACAAATTATTAAATTACAAGACCATACTGAAACCTATCTGGACCTACGGACTTGAGCTGTGGGGGACAACTAAATCATCGAATATCAAACGCATCCAATCCTTCCAGTCTAAAGTCCTTCGAACAATAGTCAATGCTCCATATTATGTCACGAACAAGACCCTACACCATGACCTTAACATCCCATATGTCCATGACATCATCCCATCCAGATTCTCCAACTTTCACCAGAACCTCATACATCATCCCAATCCTCTAGCCCAATCCCTATCCAGCTCCGAGCATCCATACCATCCCCCTCGAAGGTTGAAACGGCAGTGGCCTCGAG